TGAGATATGGAAGAGGCTAGAGGTGAGGGGGAATTCGGTGGACATTGGCAATTATTTAACGTGGCAGGGCACGGAGAACTCAGGAAAGTGTGCTTTGGTTGATACTGGTATACCATAGTTTACTGACAGAAATAAGAAATATTTACAGGGAAGTTTTATTTGAGTAGTCAATAATAATCCTTACAGAACTTTTTAAAAAACCTAACTTAATGTCAAGTAAGCTTAACCCCTATGTTATTTGGGTTGCAATAAACTATTACTGACAGAAAATCTGATGAAATAGTAGATTTAACAAAACAGAAGCTTATTTGTACCCAGGTAGAAGTTGTCTTGATAAAATAGTTGCTAGTATTGGTTCCGCAGTGCAAAGGTTATTTGTGCTGAGACTCTTTGGGGGGAGGGAAGGATGCAGTTTTTTTTATTATTATTGAATTTATTGGTTAACAAAATTATACAGCTCTCAGGTGCACAATTCTACAGCACATCATCTGTACCCTGTATTATGTGTTCAGCACTCCAAACCAAGTCTCTGTCCATCACCATTTATTCCCCTTATACTTTCTTCAACCCGCCATTACCACACTATTGTCAGTGTTGATGAGTTCTTTCTCTTTTTTTCTTTTTTGTTCAAACCCACACCCCACCTAACTTCCCCTCCCCAACAGCTGTCAGCCTGCTTTCTATAAGTCTGTTTCTATTTTGCTTGTTAGTTCATTTTGTTCATTAGATTCCACATTTGAATGAAATTCTGTGGTGCTTGTCTTGTCCATTTTGTCATGGTCCCAAAATGATTGGCACAGCTCTGGCCATCGTATCTGCATTCCAGGTCGAAAGAAGAAGCAAGAGCAAAAGGCAACACCTTTATCAGCAAAAAGATGGAGTCCACTTACGTCACATTGGATGGAACACGTTAAATGGCACTCCTAACCACAAGGGAGGTTGAAAAACACAGGTTTCTTGAACTGAATTTGGCCTGAACCTAAAAAGAAGGAAAAGGGGGAAATTAGATGGCCAACTAACAGTATCTGCCTTATACTGCAACTCTGACCTGAGCCAGGAAGAGGGTAAGTACAATAATCTATCACCAACTTTTCTCCAGGAACTGTAGTAGGTGCTGTGGTTGCATGATCTAATTTCATACTCTCAATCACCCTACACGGCAGGCATCATGATGCCCATTTAACAGATGGGAACAACGAATTATTTAAAGTTTAAGTGGGCATGAATAAAAACATGGAATTTTATCATGAACTCACAAAATTTTGGCCCCTAAAATCCTGCCAGTTTATAGGCAGGAGTTCAGTTTATTAGGATGATGATATTGTGAATTTTCATGATTCCCACAATCGGATATGACAGGGGTCTAGTGCATCTTTGTGTGTAATATGCATTGCTCAACTGTGAGCTGAGCAGCACTTGCTCCAGGCTCAAGCTTGCCAAGCAAGACTACCCCTTGACCAGCCATCTTTACTTTCAAATTTCCAAGGAAGAGATTCACAACTTTTTCCTTGGTATTTGTGATGCTATCTGGCAATTCCTGTAGATGAAGCAAGCTCTAGGCAAAATGTAAGAACATTTCCCTTGCCTCCTATCCCTGTAATTTCCCACAGGTACAAGTTCCTATGTACTTTTACTTTCAAAACAGAACATACAAAATCTATAACTTGAAAAGTGTTTAAGATCTTACATAGTGGATATAGTCCCATTTGAATAAGACAAGCTTGAATATCTAAAGGCTTCCACAGGATACAGAAATAAATCTCTAATACTGGAACATGTGGCACTGGAAACATTATCTTATAGAAGGACATGGCATTTTCTCCATGCCCCTCAAGTCACATGTCAATGGCTGTGTACTACACCTATGCCATCTGTAAGAGATTTTTCTAGGACAGTCATAATCCAAAATATTTCCTCCATCTGTCAGATCATGTGTTAGACCATGTGTCTCAGTTTCTAATTCAGAAAATATGGCCCCTGTGCTTACACCAGTTCTGTTTACAGTTGCTTCTAACCCAAATGATGCTGGGTTGTTGTTGGTTTTTTTGAGTGTTGGTTTTGTTTTGTTTGTTTGATTTTGCCTTATCCTTAGCTGGCATGAAGAAAGCTACACACCTTCACCTCATAGGCATCTCATCTATCTCAACTTATACTTGAAAGCTAGTGTTAATTTCTTCTCCAGCTAAATGCCCTTAGCTCACCTGGGTTCAACATGGTGTCAGCACAATCTATGGCATTGAGAGAAACTTCATAAACATCTTAAAACAAATGTCAATATTTTCTCTTTTCCCTTCTCCTCATATCTTCACCCCCCAGGACTAGAAGCTCTAATAGAGACCCAAAACTTAGTGGGATTTGCAAGGACGAATAATCAGAAAGATTACAATGGAGAAGAAGAAAGATAAGGAGCCCTCATTTCTACAGATCTGAACACACCAGCAGAGATGAAGTTTCTGAATGAGTGAGGACATTGTATGTTGGACAATAGTTCCTGTGATCACTACTGTATGACATTTAGAGTCACGAAAGCAGATCCCAACTTGTGTAATGATTACATTAGCATAAACAGCATGCTTGTAACTTCAATTAATTACCTGCAAATATTCATTATATGTCAATACAAGGAACTGCAGTTCCCTGGAAAAAGTGTTTGGAGAAGTGTGCAGGGGATATGGCTCGGTGGCTTCCAAGTCTCCGGTATCCTTTGTGTTCTCTATGTGTATTCAGAGAATCATTGATCAGCTGCCTTCTGCACGCCCCCTACTGGGGATCAAGCCCACAATCTGAGCATGTGCTCTGACCCAGAATCAAATTGTGACCTCGTGGTTCATAGGTCAATACTCAACCACTCAACCACCTTGCTCAACATTCCTACCCACATATCCCAAGGGTACCTCAAAGTAAGATGTTCAATGTCCAACACCTGGATCCCTATGCCTACCCCACTTGGGCACCAACTATTTCCAGATAGTTAAGTGATACTACAAAGTATTATGTTAAGTGTCAAATGAGTGCTATTATACATTCGTCATCCTCTTTGCTGTCTGTATTCCCACCTTAAAAAATGCTAAAATGTTGAGGCACACTCCCAATTCAGAACTATTATTCCTCTTAATTGAAAAAGACTCAGAAGCCAAGAACTGGGCACAGTGCCTTCCCAGGGGATTTATTGCAGCTCCTCAGGCAAAGCTGCAAGGAGAACCAGAAGAGAGATGGCCAATCCGCCTCGAGACAACGGCTCCCAAACCGCACGGCTCCCAAGGGGGAGGAAACTGAAACACAAGCTCTTCCAAAGCCAGAGCCAAGGCCAGGGGTGGGAAACGGGCCAGGGAGAGACCAAGCAAAAGCCCATTTCTCAAAACTTTTCATGTTGGTATTATTGCCAATTTGTCACTATGTACTTTTCAGGCCCACAGTTGGTCCTCTTGCTCATAACAAAAGGTCAGCGCCTACTCCGATTGCTTCACTAATGCAGGCTTCCACAAATGGACACTGGCGAGCCGTCAAAACCCAGCGAACCCCAGTGGCTTCTTATTTACATGGGCATCTTTGTTATCCCAGGCACGTCCTCCCAGTCCTCAGAGGAACTGCAGTGTCACCGCAGCTGACAACAGCCAGAGCCCCTGATTGTGGAGGCTGGACCTGGCCAGGCTGCAGCCTTGGACAGCAGGAGGCTCTGACTCTCCTAATAATGTATGTGTTTTTTCTATCTTCCTCCCTCCCCTCTCCCCCCACCCCGCATCCTCCCGCGTCTCCTCTCAGTACTGCTCTCGGCAATAGAGGGAAATCATTTTCTCCTAATATTCGCTGAAACTGAAAATGACATAAGGTGCACTAATGCCCTCCAAGGGGCATTTCTGGAATGAGTTATCTGGAACTTGGATTTCCCCACCCAGAGGAAAGGGTGGTCGGCTCTTGATCTTTGCTTTTCATCTCGCATCTGCCTACTTGCCCAGGTACAGAAGCAGTGGCTGCACCTTAGGTGCTCAATAGGTATCTGTAGAATGGAAATGAAACTCATTTCTGGAATTTCTTTCTTGCTTTGATATGAAGCACACCTTGTACATCAGACAAAAATAAAAAGAAAAATGGAGCGAATGATCCAGAAGAGACATTCACACTTTGATGGAATGGCCATGAACCAGTGCCAATGTCCGTCTTGCTCCCTGACCTCGGTGAGCAAAGCTGCCATGGCAGGTGCCTACTACTGTCTTCCTCACACTCCCTCCCTGCTCTGTCCCCAAGAGCAGCCAACTTCCTCCTGGCCACTGATGACAGAAAGACGTAGACTTCTTGGTCCTCTCTGTGAGCCAGTTATCCTCAACTCTGTCTTTGATTTTCAATTTCACCAGAACCCATGGAGCCGTGATGAACTGTTGTGTGAGTGCAGCCATCGGGCTTGGCAAAGGTGGTTTTTGCCTGGGAGACCCGCCTGAAACGCTCTGATGGCTTTTCTTATTTTTCATATCAGATTCTCAGGGGAAGCTGTTTAAGATTCATCTCCTTATTTATGCCATGAACAGCTTCACTCCTGACACCTTTCCGGAGGCTGGTTCTATGCACTGCCCTTTAGACAGAAGGCCCTGCAGCCTAAGCAGTTTTGGTCATAACACCAACTGCACTGATTTAATTAAAAGGACACCTGTGAGGTTCTTTTTTCCCCTTCTTTGTTTCTTATAAAATGCTCCAATAAATAGGTTAAATTATCTGTGTCTGAAGAAGAAGGTAATTCTCTCGCTGGCTTCTTCCTCTATTACACTGCGTTAATAGAAACCAGCTTCCATTCTGCAGCGTCCTTCATCCAATTAACAACCTCGCCGCACCTAAATTCTTCTTGTAATTAACCAATAACTGTTGCTTCCCCCAAAAGCAGCCCCAATTCACTTACCAAGCCTCTGTAGTTCTATGCTCCTCTTAGACCTCATCTAAATTTAATACCAGCGAGTATAAAAGGTTGTTTTCCAAAGCACTGGGTTATTTATTAGTAGTACATTCTGGAAACTTCCTGTAGCCTGTCAGAGTGCAAGCCTGAACTCAGCCAATTACCACAGGTGAAACAGACCAATGCTCCTAAGGAAAATTTGATAAGCTTGGTTTCTCCTTTCTATTACCTTTCGGTTAGAATTTCACAGGGCTTAAATCAAGCAGCATCTCCTAGGGACTTAAGAGCTGTTGCTTTCTCTGTGAGCACAGAGGAAAGGGCAGAAAAATGGCACTCCAATCAAATCCAGGCTTCATGCGATTGACAGCTGGTGGGTTTTCATATTGGGGTCTGGACTGTTTGCTCAGCTCCCGTGCTCTGTCCGGGGATAACAGTGGCCAATAAAGCGTAAAAGCGTATGTCCTGTAACATCGCTGCTTCTTGTTATCTGGAGGACCCTGGAGAATCACAGAAACTAATGTAATTAGTCGGGATGTGCCATTGTACAGGAAGGATAAGAGGTAAGAAGACAAGTTTATTTCTGCATATAAGTAACTTAAGTACAGCTTAATCCAGCCGCCCAGTGGACCATCGAACCCCTTTCACTCCAAAAGCAGGAGCAGTGGAGTCAAGAATTGGAGCTTAATTGAGAGGCAGGAAAATGGAAAAGTTTTGTGTGGCTTAACCAATATATCTGAGTAAACACTGCATCTCTGCCAAAACATTTTCATTTTTCATTAACAGCCATGTACCGTGCAAAGAAATACACTTTGATTTTACAGTCAGAGAGGACATCCTTGGAAGGGAGGGACTTAATATAGAAGAAAGTTGAAATGTGTTAACATTACTAATGACTGACTGTTGCCCCATGGCTAGCAGGCCCTATTCTCTTCATGTGAGCTGCAGAGGAAACACCTTTTCTGATCGCTTATTGGCTAAGCTCCCCATATGCCACTCGAAGTGTTCTTGGTAACTTGGGTAATAAGAATACAAGAACATGATCTAGGGTTTTTCCACTTCATTCCTGGAGGGGAAAAACGAAGATCCGCTGCTGGAGGGGCTAAGAAATGTCATATTCTACCCTAGCCAGTTTGGCTCAGTAGATAGAGCCTCAGCCTGAGCAGGGTCCAGGTTCTATTCTAGACAAGGGCATGTACCTAGGTTGCAGGCTCATGCAGGAGGCAACCATGTCAGGACTCATACAGGAGTCAACCAATCAAAGTGTTCCTCTCATATAGATGTTTCTCTCTGTCTTTCCCTCTCTCTTCTATGTCCTCTAAAAATGAATGGGAAAATATCCTTATGTGAGGATTAAAAAAATAAATAAAGAAAGAAATGTCATGTCATGTCTTATGAAAAAGACATCTTGAAATTGCCTAAAGAAAGTTGTCATTTTTTTTGTGTGTGGTGAAGGGACTGGAGTGCATGTTGATTAAAACACCTTGGCGGCTGCTACGGCCAGCAGTGGCAGCAGCAGCAGGGTGATGGGGGTGGTGCCTTCCCCAGTCATCCTAGTCCCCTCCTGCAGAAGGAGGCCAGACTTCGGCTTAGGACCACTTCATTCCACCCCGCCCCCGTAGAACATCCCCTGAGGGCTCCTGGATTGGAGAGGGTTCAGGCCAAGCTGAGGGATCCCCAAATTTCATGAACCAGGCCTCTAGTAGATTAATAATAACACCAGCTACTGTCTTGTATTAACATGCTCAGTCTTTGCACAAGTTTCATTTAATCCTCTCAGCAGCCATCTGAGGCATGTTCTGCAGCTATCCCCCATCTTGGGGGTGAGAAAACTGGTGCTGGAAGAGAATAAATAATTTGCCAGGGTCACAGTACTGATAAGAGGCAGAGCACGGAATTGACTCCAATGCTACACAATGAATCACACTATCCCTTATGTTCTCAGTTACATCTTCATTCAAAGGAAATTTTCAGATATGAATCTCTTTTAGTGAAAAATTCTTCTTCAGGTAGGAGCATTTATTGCAATCCTATTAGCGAAATATATTGGCCTGGAAAGGTGTGAAGATGAGCCCAATCCATGAGGTTTTTGCTTTTAAGTTGCCATAGGAAAGGCCATTGCCCTTGACCCTCTTTGACCTTCCCCTTTATTACTGTGACTATGCATGTTTATTATACAATCCCCTCTTCTGACACTTTCATCTTCACTCTACTTCTATCTCTCCGAAAAATTACGATTGTAAACTTTTGTATCATTTTATGTTCAACCCTTAAATGTAGAGAAGCATGTTTGGTAGCAATTGTATTTTCCTCCCCAGGAGCCGCCTCTTCCTAGGTTTCTCTAAATTTTTCTGTGATGCTCTTTTCCCCTCTGCTCCCCTTATTATCTTCTCTGCCAGACTCTGTTCCTACTTTGTCCCTTGCTTTTCTCTCTCCTGAAATCATACACAATGCAGTCATCAAGTTGCTCTTTATTCTACCCACTTTCCTGTGACCATTCAGGTTGTTTGTTTCTTTGATTTTAAATTACATTCCTGGCGTGAAATTCATCAGGGCGAAGGTGTCCAGAAACTGTACATATGCAGAGTTGTCCTTTCTTTAAGACTGTTTCCTATCCTCTTGAATTCTTCCCTTTTACTCTATTGCTGTTGTTATTTGTGTTATATTTATGTTTCTTCTTATAATTATTACCATTATTCAGATTTTAAAAAGGAGGGGAAATAAAATTTAAAAGAAGGGGAGATACCCTGAGAGAAGGTACATATCAAAGTATCAAATAATAAGTCAAAGATTTTGAGAAAAACAAATACAGAGAGTTATTGGTACACAAGGTTTTCTCTGAAGAAAAGAGATAGGGTGAATACCGGAGGGTTGGAAAGACAGTTTCTTGGCAACATGCTATAGTCCTGCCCCACATATTGTATAGACCATCTGTCTGGCACCCCCCACACACAGACAGAGCACTAACGGTGATCCAAGGTGTCCACAAGCTGGTCTCATAAATAAACTCCACACTGAGATATAAATAAACGTCACAAACAGACCATGGGGCAGTGAAATAGTCCCCAGTCCTCAGTATTCTCTGTGTTTGCTTTATTATATAAGGTCAAGGAATAGTGTCTTGAGGACAAGAATTTGTCCAAGTGTAGGGGCTCACAGGCAGTTTACAGCATGGGAATTTCCTAAGCATCTATTGGAGTGATCTGGCATCTTCCAGATCACTCCCATAGATAATTGTCTGGGCCAGTTCCAGAATAACAAATTCTGACAAAGGAACCAAGTCTTCCTCCCCACTGAGCTAGTCTTCTATGCCTCTTCTACAGGTACTTCCGGGACAGTGAGTGATGTATGCCTGTAGAATGGGTTCACCACACCTGTTTCCAGTTTAGAGATTGACCTATGGCCAAGAACCTAGTTTAGTCTGAAATTCCCCAAATATCCTTGTTCTGCTGTGGGTTTTAGTCTCCACATTTGGCTTCCCAATAAACCACACCTGGGATTCATACCTCTGTGCACATCCCCTCCGCTTGAAGCTGGGCTGGCCCCTTGACTCATGTTGGCCAGCAAAATGCAGCGGAAGTTAGGCTGCATGACTTCTGAGAGGAGGTCAGAAAAAGATACACAGCTCTAGGAATTCTCACTCCGAGGAAAGCCAGCCTCTAGGTAAGAAATCTGACTGCCCTGGCATTGCCTGCTTTGAATGAAGTCCAAGGTAGCCAGATAGGGAGGCTCCTTGGAGAGAGAGTCAAGCCTTAGCCAGCCAGTCAAGCTGTTTTAGGACTCAGAGTGGAGGTAGCAGACATGTAGCTGAAGATGGCATCTTGGATCCCCTTCACCTTCCGTTCCAGCCTCCATCTGGCTGCAACTGCATGAGACACTGAGCATGGTCACCCAAGGAACCATGAGAGATAATAATAATAACTACGTTTTGGGATGGCTTGTTACACAGAAATAGTTAACAAAAATAATCTACCTTTTATCACATCCCATACCCAACTTGAACTCAGAAATTACTGTTTTTCTCAAGATCTCCTTTCAGTCCCATAAGGATTCATAGAATTTCAAGGTCCACACTTGAAAGAGCCCTATGGAACTCCTCTATGAAAAGAGGCATAAAGGATCTAAAGAGGCAATTACTACATACAGTAAGCCAGCCTCATTGATCTGCCCCTTTTTAAATTTTTTTTAATTGATTTCAGAGAGGGAGAGAGAGAAACATCAATGATGAGAGAGAATCATTGACCGGCTGCCTACTGCACACCCCCTACTAAGGGTCAAGCCCATAACCCGGGCACGTGTCCTGACCAGAAATTGAACCCTGACCTCCAGATTTATAGGTCAATCCTCAACCACTGAGTCACCCCAGCTGAGCTGCCCCTCTTTTCTTTAACCTATGTCTAAACCAGTAGCCTGAGAGAGGGTATCTATCAAAGTATCAAAAAATAAGTCAAAGATTTTGAGAAAAACAAATACAGAGAGTTCATGGTACACAGGTTTTCTCAATTCAGAGTTTATAACTCATTCGTGGGTGCCGTTCAGAATATGTGATTGCTTGTTAAGGCATCAGCACCAGGAATGAAATGAGGGCTATTCATCTGAGACACCTGATAACTGAAAGCCATTCACCACGCTGTGCCTTCTGCCCTTGCAGAGGGTCAATACGTGACCCCCTCCAGGTGTCTTTTAGAAAGATGGTTGAACATGTCTTCCAATCGCACTTTTTACTAGGAATAAAACAATATAGATGTCTAAATAATTTTGGATGGTCTGATTAAAGAAACTATTTCTAAACAGCATCTTTGTGTGTGCGCTATACACAGGGCTCAGTAGAGTCCTGCTGAAATTTAATTACAGAAAAGAAAACCTTTTTTGTATATTAATTATCTTTTTAAAAATATATTTATTGTGAGCTGTCAGAAAGTGGGATTTTAGTAAACCAATGCTGTTGTTCTCCTTTGCTTCCAGTGTACTGCAAGACCCCTGATGTCCTCTTTGCCTTCAGAGTTGATTCTATCCTGAAGCATCATGTTTAATCTGTAAACTAGCTCAAGTATTTTTGAAGTAGGACAGTGTCTAAGTTTATAAACTCAGTAGGCTCTAGCTGTCTATCAATCAGAAAAATGGAACTACCTGAAAGTTGTTGATATTGTGTGCACTCATACCACTGTTAGGTGGGTATTTCTTTCTTTCTTCCTTTCTTTCTTCCTTTCTTTCTTTCTTCCTTTCTTTCTTTCTTCCTTCCTTCTTTCCTTCCTTCCTTCCTTCCTTCCTTCCTTCCTTCCTTCCTTTCTTTCTTTCTTTCTTTCTTTCTTTCTTTCTTTCTTTCTTTCTTTCTTTCTTTCTTTCTTTCTTTCTAACTGCTAAGTTAGAAGAAAAAAAAAGAAAGAAAGAAATACTTGCCTTTTTGGTAGAACTCCCTTTAATTAATAACATATCAGTAAGACACCAGTTCACATCATACTCATTTTGTCCAAGGAGAAAAACTAAATTTCTCAGTCAT